ACAAATTACAGTTTAATTTTTTGCATATTGTTCAAGAAGCATTAAATCTACCCTTTACTAAAAGAAATTTGCTTTGTGTTGGAACCAAATTTTATAATCAATAATTTTATATGTCTTCTGAAATTCATAATAAATGGTTAACTTATTTAAAAAACTGAAAGATGTTTCCAGTATTAGTGTACCAAGATATTGTTTTAAAGAACTAAATATTTTGCATAGTTTTAGTGATAGCTCTCAAGCTGCTTATTCAGTAGTCATTTATGCACAAGTAAAATTCAGTGAGGGTTGGATTTCAAAATTAATTACATTAAAGATAAAAGTTGCACAAATCAAAAATTTAACTATTCCGCATTTAGAGTTACCTGGATTTTTATTATTAGCAAATTTGATGAGCAAGCTTGTTCAAGAACTAAATAAAGTAGTTATTGTTGAAAACATTTATTATTGGACATATATTGAATTATCTTTATTTTGGATAAAAAACCTTAAAAAGAGATTAGAAGTTTGGTTTGTTAATGTTTCAGAATAACAGTTTGTGGTGGGAAGGTCCTTTGTTTTTAAAAACTAATAACTTTCCAAAACAGAGGAAGTATTTTGAGAGTAATGTGGAAGAAATTGTTATTAGCAAGTTAAAAAATTTTATAACTGTTTGTGTCAATTTATTTGAAGAATCAAAAGTTGGAATCAGCCATATTATTAATGCGAAAAAAACTATTGAGAGTTACAGCTCTTACAATTTGTTAGAGAGTTACAGCTCTTACAATTTGTCAATAATCTTAAAAATAATCTTTTAATAGTTAAACTTTCTGTATCTTCAATCAATCGTGTAATGTATCAGTAATGTATGTTAGCTGACAACATCCATCAAATAAAAATCTAGTGCAACTGGATAGATTAAATTCTGGGTTCTTAACTGTAGTTTTAGCAGATTTTAGAATAACATGTTTGTTAGTGGCTGAAAGTCTGCTGCAAAATAAAAAGGATTCTCATCAGGGTTCTCATCAAAAAAGATTTTCTCCAGGATTACGAAAATATCAAGCAAGTGTTGGATTTATTTCTAGATAAATATGGTTTTTTATGTTTAAAATAAAGTTTTTTGGATTATGAACTAAAGTATTGCTGAGAAGCTCATTTTACTAAGTTGATTGTTTTATTTGCACATAAAACATTTGCGTCTTGGTGAGCATCGAACAAAATAAGAATCAGATTCTGGTTTTGCAAGGGACAACAAGTATTTTACAAATTGTATTAAATGTAAAAGAGTCCTTGGGAAAACTTTACATAGCCCTAGACCTCTAGATTTACCAAATTTTCGTGTGGCAACACATGGCTTTGCATTTAAAAATATTGGGTTAGACTATGTTGGTCCTTTGTTTGTGAAAAAAAAATCTGTGGACAAGAAAAAATCTAGAAATGTTCATGTGGAGTTGATGCCTTCTATGGAAACCGATTCACTTATATAAGTGAAAATTTTTAATCACTAATTACTAATTCCATATTTCTTCTTCTTGAAATAAAACCTTTTAAACACCATATAATTATATGGTGTTTAAAACATTTTATTTCAAGAAAAAGAAATATGGAATTAGTAATTAGTGATTGAAAATTTTTCTCAGCAAACAGTCAAAACAATTCCTAGTAAAGGAGCGTAAATCATAGAAATTCATTTTACCTAAATCCCCTTGTTGGGGAAGATTCTATGAACAACTTATTTGAATTGTAAAAGATGCATTAAAGAAATGTGTGGGTAAAAGTTGATTATCGCATGAGAAGTTAGAGACAGAGTTAGGTGAGATTGAAATGACAGTTAATAGTCTAAAAGTTAAAAGTCATTTGTAAAAGCGTTAGGTGTAACTTTAATAAAACATTTCAAAGATGGGTTTTTAAGTAATTTATTTTAAACGCAATTAAAAATATAACAAAAATATAACAAAAAGGAATTTTCTTTTAGAATTTGAGTTTTTTTATTTTTGTTTTAGTGCTTATATATTTTATTTTTTGTAAAGATTTCCTTTTTGTTTATGTATAGTTAAGGCAATTTACAATTTGAACCTGTCATTTCGAAAAGGGCACAAGTCTATTTATTCAAACTTTTCAGGATCAACAAAAATAAGTTTTTTAGAAAAAAAGTCTATGACGCCAAAGAAACTAAATATGAGTAGATTAAAAAAAAAAAATCATACCTATGTTTTTAGAGTTTTATTTATTATAAAAAAACAACGTATAATACATATATTTTTAATTTAAATTTATGGACTTATGTCTTTTTCGAAATGAACATTTTTTTGTATATAAAAATTCAAAAATTATCAGAATAATGATGATTTATTATTACATAAAAACAATTATTGTTAGTTAATCACTTATTTCTTGGAATTCATTGTTTGCCGAAGTTGTTGGCCATGCAAAAACCTCTGTATAGATGTTTTTGTACTCTTTATATATATTAAATATGGAATATATTTTTCTATTTTTTTAAACCTGATATTTTTTTTCATTAATAGGCGATTTTCCAACATATGCAGGAGTACTACTTAATGGTAAGGTTGGCCTTGTACCTATCCTTTGTAATAGCTGGAAATCATAACTGACTAAGCAATCTATGGATTCACATGTTGTCACTAAACCTGGAGTGGTCTTAGTAAATGTGAAATGTGACACTTTAGAAATACCAAAGTTACTTTTTTTGTTCTTGGGTACTCCTTTTTCATACGAATCCACAGATAGCACAAGTTTCTTATAATAGTTTGGCCACCATTTTTTTACATCAATAATATCTTCAGTTTTGGGCCTTCTAATTTCAAATTTTTCGTTTGCTTCAGCTATAAGATTTTCATACTCTGTTGATGTGTAAATCCGATCATTTTTTTGAGTATGTTGCTTTGCTGTTCCAAACATTCTATTGTTTGGCAAGAATGAGTGAACTTTTTTTGGTATGTAATATTGTATCTCATTTATATTGCTATCTAGTTCAGCTACCAGTGATAAAAGTTCTCTGACCATGGCATGATTACTATTTTGGCCTGCACAACCATCAAAAAATAAGTGCAGTTCTTTGGCTTTGTTGTCAATATTTTTTAAATATAATCCAGCACAAAGGTATTTACTTCGTTAGAACCTTTGTTAGCAACTCCTTCATAATATGAATAAAATACTGATTTAACAGTTTTATTTCATATTTGCAAAATTCATACAGCCATAGTTGATGTAGATAAAATATTTCCTGGACAGGGAAATGTGGAAGTGGCAAATTTTGCATAAAATCAAATGCAATCCCATACACATTTTGATCGTTTCTTCAGATCTAAACCGCCTTCTCTCTATTTCCTTCTTTTCAATCAATGAGTGCAAGTATGTGTCTTAGATATTTTTACTATCAAATTTTTTAACAAACTGAATTTTACTTTCTATAACATCTTCACATACATGCTCCATACACTTTAAATTACATCTGTTAATAAAGAAAATAATGAGGTAATATTATAATAATTTTATATCAAGATGTTTTACCTCCAATTTTTGGTGGTAAAACATGAGTGAATAAGCAAAAATTTGTGAATGAATATAGTCTATATTCTATATTGTAGAACAAAAAACTAACCTGCAAGAAGCACCTGTCTACCGTGGTGCCACATCATTTCCTTTGTGGTTTTTATAAGCTTCTCCAGCAAATTTGACTTTTTTTATTTTGTCATGTTTTAAATTATAGATTCCATTGTTCCTTATACCAGACACTCTTCTAGATCTATAGCATTTTCAGCAAGCTCGTAATTTTCCATTTTTGTAACAAATAAAGTGAGATTACATCACTTCAGTTGCGCTTCATCTCACTTGAAAAAGGCATAAGTCTGAGACTTGTGCCATTTTCAACCAGACTTCAGTATTCATTTGCATTTAAAGTTGACTTGTTGCATATGAAAATATTTCTCCTTCAAAGGGAATATGTAAAACATTTGAGTAAACAAAATGGCATTAAAAAGTGAAATTCTGGAAAAGTGTGACTTTCGAAATGACGGGTTCAATTATTTGAATTCTTTTATATATAAATTAGCTCGATTTTAACAGCGTATTATGTCCAAACAAGAGCTTTAGATTTTTTTTTTTTTTTATTTTTTTTATTTTTTTTTTTTGCTTTAGGTTTTTTTAATATTTAAAGAAACTTTTTTTTTATATATATATTGTTTTCAAAACCTTTTTACTACCCCTAACAGTGAATCTAAAGAACACCATTATGGAGTCTTTAGATCACTTTCGCTCGTTAGCGTTAACATGAACTTAGTTAAAATCTTTTGAAAAAGTGCCTTAACCCACTAGAGATCCTAGTTCTAATCGGTTCTGACGTATATTAACTATATATAGTCGTCAAAATACAATATTTTTTATCAATTTTCACAAAAAGTACTAGAATTCTGACCAAGAAAAAGCTTATAATTAAGAAAAATTCCCAATAAACGATCAGAACAATTCATATTATAAAACTATGATGTTCATTTCACCTAAAAAACATATTTATTTAAAATCTTATTCAAATTTAGACAAACGATTGCCATATTAAGAAGATTTTTTTTTAAAAAAATCTTTGGTCTGTTTTTTTTCCGCTACAAACATTTATATTTTATGATACCGTAAAATTTAACTTTTTTTTTGTCTTTTTACAATTCACAACCCTGATCATTTAATGGAAATATGTTGTAATCAACAAAATATTATACAGACGCTGTAATATTTTAAAATTGCCTTAACTACACCAAGTAGTTTAAGTTTAACTAGTGTTTCTTTTTTCATTGCATTTCTAAAATGTTTAAAAATCATCTAAACATCTAAACAGTCGTGGTCAAATTGTCAAAATAATAATAATAATAATAAATAACTACGCTGATCATATTTAACATTTAAATGGAGTATGCAATAAATTTATTTGAAATAATGTTTAAAATAAAGTTTTTGGCTAAATAAGTTTTTTTTCAAACTAAGTTAAAAAATTTTTTAAATAATTTCAGATCGTGGTCCGTGCATTACAACAGTTTGCCTTTGGCTACTATTTGTATACGTAGAAGCATCTGTTAGATTGCAAGAATTAAAATCTGTTCCTTTTAACTTGGATCTTTGTCGTCCATTTGCAGCTCACTGGTAAAAATTAAAAAACTTTTCAGAATTTTATTTTTTATAGTTTTTATTTAATTTAAAGTACGATTCAAATGTTTTTAAGTAATTCATAGAATTCATTTAAGGTAAAGGTAAAGTTGTTTAAGCTCTATATTATTACTTACAGATAATACTTGAACATTTTCTAATGTTTAATTAAATATTTAAGTGGCATGAATTGTACGCAGTGGGCCTCAACAAATCAAAGTTTATAAATATTTTTATCTCTTTTTTTTATTCCTCCAAGAAGCTGGAATGTATTAAAATTATGTAGTAAGCATTTTAATTATTAATTAGGTAATAATATATATAGATAACAGAAATTTATTTGAAATAAAATATTGTTTAATTCAACCTTTAATAACATTTTCTCAGGTCACCATATTTTGCAAACCTGTGCATTTTTTTTTCATAGCTTTGGAAAAAATAACCAAGTTACAGTATACATCACACATATTCTCATCCTCCTGTATATCTAATCCTTGGTGTGATTGTAATTTAATATTGCAATATGGATAGGGATTTTTGAACTGGTTGTCTACAGACCATTTACTACCAAGTTTTTAAAAACTGCTACAAAAGTCTGTTAACCTTATTCGTATTAACTTTAAACAGCTTTTTGTTTTTATTAGGTTCTTTATTTTGAGGTATTATATAAAATATTACCTGTAAACTCCTGTTAACTTTCTTTTCTCTGTAAAGTAAGTTTCTTTCTGCTTTTTTAAAAAGTAAGAAAGTTTCTTTCTGCTACCCTTTTTTAAAAAAGGTAAGAGTAAAAGTAAGTAAAAAGTTTTCTATCTGCTAAGTACCCCTTTGAATCACAAAGATATTTTCTATCTGCTAAGTACCCCTTTGAATCACAAAGATCTTTTCTATCTGCTAAGTACCCCTTTGAATCACAAAGATCTTTTCTATCTGCTAAGTACCCCTTTGAATCACAAAGATCTTTAAAGTTTAGTTAAAAATCATTTAAACTAATTTAATAAAAATTTCTGACCAAATTTAAATTTGGTATTTGAAAAAGATTATATTTCTTTATAATTTCTTTCTTAACACAATCTTATACTTCCAATTTAAATTGGAATATCTTAATTTATTTATTTTATTTTTATGTATTTATTGTAATATTTTAAATAAAGATTATGAACAATTTATAGATGTATTTTATCAGTTACCTATAAGATATTGGTAAACATAATTTATATTCATAAATAAATAATGTCAAAAGAACCTTACACGATTTAGTTACCAGATGATAACAAAAAATGTTTTACTATTTTACATTCCTTCAAAACAAATATTTTGTTATTTAAAAAATATACAAGGGTTGAATTAACGCATCGCGATTTGCGATATCTGTTAAATTATCTGGTCTTCAAAGTTTCAGTTTATGAAAAACCACGAAATTTACGGAATAGGTGAATAAACTTTAATTTGTTAGTGAAAATGTTATGAAAAACAAAACAATAAATTTATGACTACAAAAGTAATAATACTACAGTGTTGTTACTTAACAAACTAACACTCTTTTATGTTACATTTATAGTTTATTGTTTGATCAAACAACACATAATCAAGATATTATAAATAAAAATGATTTAGTTAAGTAATTACAAACTTTAATTAAAGTAGTAATGCATCTTGAAAAAATACTATGGATATTTAAACAATGTTAAAAACCTTAGGAACCTTTACGAATACATATTTTTATAAACAGTTTAGCATTTCTAAACATCTTACTAACGGTCCGGAAAAAATGCGCCTTCACTTTAAAATCAACCAATGAAAACACTGATAATTTACTTCTTAGGAGAAATCTATATTAAAAGGGGAGGGGGGGAGGCTATAAACTTAAATTTTGTTTTATTATTTAATCAATTAAATCATAATAAAAGTAAAGACAAAAAAATATATTTCTAAATATACTTCTTTATAATTAAAATTTATTAAATTGAACACCTCTGTTTTTAGTTTTAAGTAAATGTCAGTACTACTCTCAGTGGCGAAACTGCAGAGGAAGGTGGGGGGGGGGGGAGGGTGAGCTAGCAGACAAAAAGTGTCCTATTTTCAAGCTAATTTTAAATTGGGCGATGTGGGGCTTATTTTGAAAATCGTGCGGAGGGAGGGAGGGGGGGAATTTTGCTACTGACTACTCTAATGTGCTTAATACAAAGGTAGGTGGGGGTGGGAATTTTAGTCAGGATGTATAAAATGGGAGGAGGAAATAATAAAAAAAAGCGAGAGGATTTATAATGAAAGTTTTATTATTTATCGGTTACCAATATATATATTTTTTAATTTTAAGGCCAATTTTCACTGAATTTTTGTTTTGAGATATAGTTTTTTGATTATAACAAGTGACTTGTTATAAATAAATAACACGATTTTCAAAATCAGCCCCATATCGCCCATGCAACCTAAAATTAGCTTGAAAATAGGACACTTTTTGTCTGCTAGCTCACCCTCCCCCCCCCCCACCTTCCTCTGCAGTTTCGCCACTGAGAGTAGTACTGACATTTACTTAAAACTAAAAACAGAGGTGTTCAATTTAATAAATTTTAATTATAAAGAAGTATATTTAAAAATATATTTTTTTGTCTTTACTTTTATTATGATTTAATTGATTAAATAATAAAAGAAAATTTAAGTTTTTAGCCTCCCTCTCCCCTTTTAATATAGATTTCTCCTAAGAAGTAAATTACCAGTGTTTTTATTGGTTGATTTTAAAGTGAACGCTCGTTTTTTTCGGACCGTTAGTAAGATGTTTAAAAATGCTAAACTGTTTATAAAAATATGTATTCGTAAAAGTTGCTGAGGTTTTTAACATTGTTTAAATATCATGGATATTTAAACAATGTTAAAATATCCAGGATATTTAGATAATTTACAATTTTAATAGATATTTTACAATTTTAAATAAAGTAGTAATGCATCTAAAAGAAATACAATGGATATTATATCCATTGTATTTTTTTTAGATGCATTACTACTTTAATTAAAGTTTGGAATTACTTAACTAAATCATTTTTATTTATAATATCTTGATTAGGTGTTGTTTGATCAAACAATAAACTATAAATGTAACTTAAAAGAGTGTTATAAAAGTAACAACACTGTAGTGTTATTACTTTTGTAGTCATAAATTTATTGTTTTATTTTTCATAACATTTTCACTAACAAATTAAAGTTTATTCGCCTATTCCGTAAATTTCGTGGTTTTCCATAAACTGAAACTTTAAAGACCAGATAATTTAACAGATATCGCAAATCGCGATGCGTTAATTCAACCCTTGATATATATATATATATATATATATATATATATATATATATATATATATATATATATATATATATATATTATATATATATATATATATATATATATATATATATATATATATATATATATATATATATATATATTATATATATATATATATATATATATATATATATATATATATATATATATATATATATATATATATATATATATATATATATATATATATATATATATATATATATATATATATATATATATATATATATATATATATATATATTATATATATATATATATATATATATATATATATATATATATATATATATATATATATATATATATATATATATATATATATATATATATTATATATATATATATATATATATATATATATATATATATATATATATATATATATATATATATATATATATATATATATATATATATATATATATAGTCAGCGTCATCAGATAATGAAAAAACGTTACAAAATAACAAAAAAACAACCGTTTAAAAAAGAAGACATTAAAAAGCGCAAAATATAAAAACCAATCAAATAATATAAAAGTGACGTCAGTTCTTTTTATAAAAGTGACGTCAATTTTTGTCAAAATTTGTCCCCAAGTTTTTGTTTTCACATTATCCCCGTCATCTCTATTTAGAACAGTTTGCCCATTACCTATCTCGTGTCGAACTCTTGCTTTATTTATCTCCAAGGATTCTCTAACTTTTCTTATCTTGTAATCTGGAATGATTGCCAAGGTCTAAGGATTCAACCAATCAAAAGTACCACAGCATGTTCTAGAATGTTCAGTGGCTCCTGAACTCAACCATTTTTGATTTTTACAGGCTCTTTGGTGTTCTGCACTTCTTGAAGTGATTTTCTTTTTGGTCTCACCAATATATATACTTCCGCATGAGTATTGAAGCTCGTAAATACTCGGATTTGAGTTCGGAGTTAGTTTTGTTTTATTATTAGTATGTTATTTAAATTGGGGGCTGAAGTAAATATAACTCTGATGTTTTGTTTTCTAAATTCTCTTTGGAGTGTAGGGCCAATAGGTATCCAAGATAGCTTAACAAATTGCTTATCTAATTGTATAGATGCAGTATTTTTTGAAACGCGGTCTAAATATTTTTTGGTTATTTTAATAAGATAACTTTTGTTATAACCATTTTGAAAGAATGTATCTTTGAGGAAATCAATTTCTTGTGAGAGATGTTTTTTAGAGCAGATTTGTATTGCTCTACATAGAAATCCTTTAAAGAAACCAGTGATGATGCTTGGGTTGATGTTAGAGTTTGGTTTTATTTGAACATTGGTTATTGCATTATTTTGCGTTTAACTTATTTTTCTCGTTTCTTTTTATGTTTTTGTTTTTTTTTCTTAGTTTCTTTGATTTGGTTTTTTGTTTGTTTTATGCTTTTTCGTTTCCTTCTTTTTCCTTTTTTTAATCTCTTTATATTTATTTTTATTATTTTATTTTATTTTATTTTATTTTTTTTTTTTTTTTTTTTCCTTTTTTTAATCCGAATATAATAATAGAAGCAATTTGTAAAAGCATTTTGCGTAACTTTTATCAAACTTTTAAAAGATCAGTTTTAAAGTAATTTTTTTCAAATGCAATTAAAAATATAACAAAAAGTAATTTCTATTTCGAGTTTTTTTAGTTTTATTTTAAAGCTT